GTTATCGGACGATAGATGTCTTAATATTGGGATATGAGATTTTGGTCATATCGCACAGCCCTAAAGTGTGATGCTCTTTCTTTGAAGGCAAACCTTCTACACCTCTTTCCTCATGACAACTGGTTGTCAGATAGTTGCAGACTAGTCTCTAGGCCTGTGTATCTGAGGTTTCATTCTCTTGAGCCTATGGTGTCATAGACTCCAAAAAAGGAGACAAGTTAACGTTATGTGGTTAGCGGTCATGTCACTGCAATCTCAGCTATTGTCATCTTGTGGCCTTTAAATAGAGTGCATGTTTAAGGCACTTAGACCGTGGCTTTTTTCAGGCCCAGAAGATGAGTCTTTAACTTCCCTTAAGTACAGTGGCAGTGGATGTGGGTTGGAGATGCAATGAGCTTGAACCTGCAGGCGACCATCTTCACTGACCACACCATCTGTGACGGAGGACTCATCTCTCCTGGTGTCCTGCAAGAAAACAATCATATTTTTTGGAACATGAACTTAATTGCTTTCTTAAAACATTTTTTTCTGCATTTGGTATAAAACAGACTCCAATTTAGACAATCTCAGGCTCCCTCCCCACCGGAGAGGTGACATTCATGTCATGAAAGCATCATTTTAAAAAAAGCTATGCAAACATGGCCAATGACTTTCATTCTAATGATGTGCAAAATGATTTGGGAACAAAACAAATTTTGCTGTTAGAAAACTTGCAGACTTCACTATATATCCCCTCTAAACTAAGTTTGGGGGATGTGATCTTTTAAGAAATGCAGACCAAACTGTTGTTGTTTGTTTACTTACACAGCATGTCTTGTAGAATTAACTGGAGTCACCAGCAACAGCATAGTGTAGTCATAGCTCAAGTCTAATAACAGAAGACAGGAAAAGATCAGTAAAGAAACAACTTCCCCAAACCAAAGCACAAATAAAACAATAAGTAAAACAGGCTGATCTAAAGTATGATTAAAGTTCAGCCTGATTAATATAAATGTCACTGACAGTTGCTAATATATTGGAAAACCAAAATACTTACCACTGAGTTGATGTCTTTCTGTCCAACAACAGGAGTGCTGGTCCCGAACCTCAAAGACAGTAAGAAGCAAGCAGTGGGAGAAAAAACAGAACATTTTTCAGAAACTGATTTGATCCTTAATGGCTGTGCAATCATTGTAACATAGAGTTTGCTTATGTTGTTAAATAAAGGCTAGATTTGACATTAATAGATGCCACAGATGTTCAAAAGCTGCCACAAAGCATGAAAAAAAAATGGACGTCCCCGAAAACGTCTGAGCAATTTTGCAAATATGTGATGTCTTGATAAATCGAGCAGATATTTGAACTTTACACAGCTACATTCTCGCCTGAAAATATCTTAAAAGTTTATTTTGTGACCCAGAAAAAGTAATAAGTTTTTTAGCCACGCTCCTCCGCCATTGCCGCGCTTACAAGTACGCACAGGCTCCCAACCGTGGCCGACAAATGCGATCCTCCTTTTCCCCAGACTACCCTTTCTGAGTCACAAAATAACCTTTTACGATATTTTCAGCCGAGAATGTAGCTGTGTAATGCTTAAATATCTACTTAATTTATCAAAATATCAC